GGGGGTCCCCCCGGTGGAGCGGTCGGTTGCGATGCAGTTGTGTCCCAATACCGCCTCCACCCGGCAGGGCGAACCGTGCCTCCCCTCCCGGGTCTGTAGGTACTCGTCTGGTCTGTCCAGCGATGCTTATACGGCCTGTGGAGAAGCTGCCTCCGCCTTACACACTACGGTGTTACTGCAGGTTCTTTAGGCTAAAGCACTGAGGGAACTGCACAAGGGTGGTCACGATCCGGAAGTTCTAAAAGAGCTCTGAACCGCAACTGATCTCGCGCTCTGAGCGACGAAGGTCACCATGAGTTCTCTGGGTCATGTGATGTCCACACTTGTGGTCCAGGAGCGTCACCTCTGGTTGAGTCTGGTTGACATGAGGGACGCCGACAAAGTTCGATTCCTTAAGGTCCCTGTGTCCCAGACCGGCCTTTTCGGCGACACAGTCGAGAACATGGCCCAGCAGTTCTCGGCTGTGCAGGAACAGACTGAGGCAATCCGAAGTTCTGCCCCGGCGGGCAGCTGCTGCCTCCGCCCGTCCGCCGGCTGCAGTGGCCCAGCCTGCTCGTCGGCGAGGGCGGCCCCCTGCGTCCACCCCGCTCCCGTGCTGCATCCGTAGCAGCCTCAAGCAAGCGGCACCGTGGAGCTGGGTGTAGGCAGGCCTGAGCAAGAGGCCTCGGGAGGGGCGACCCAGAGAGAGAGGGAACTGCTCTTAGGGGGATGATGAATGCAGCTCTCCCTCCCCCGGAGGAGGGCCGAGTAGAGAATCTGGTTTCCAAAAATCTCGACAGGAGAGCGGTTTTCTCTGTCTCTGGGTCCCAAGAGGGCATGGAGAGTCGCGGACGGACCACACTCATTCTCCTCTCTCACCAGCAGGCAGCAGCGTACGGTTCGAGAGCGTTATCAAAGGTCCTACTCACGCACCATTTGCCAAACTGTGGAACCAGGTAAGTGTTGCACTGCACACTCAGACCCCTCTTCAGGTCCCTGCGTTCCACCTTGCTGCCCCACCATGGGTATGTCGGTGGTCCCGCTAGTCCAGCTTGTGTGGTGTCTGGGTGCCTGGCTACCCAAACTGTCGCTGGCTCCTTGCTGTCTTGAACCGGGCTCTTCACCGGTTACCGTTAAAGATGTTGACGCAGGAATGCATCTTCGGGTGCATCCGTCGCCGAGATTGGTTTGCAGCAATCGACCTGAAGGGCACGTACTTTCATGTGTCGATCCTTCCGCATCACAGACCATTGCTGCGGTTCGCGTTCGAAGGACGAGCATATCAGTAGGATGTCCTGCCCTCCGGGCCTGTCGCCCCATGACTTCACGTAAGTTGCGAAGACAGCCCTTGTTCCCGAGAGAACAGGGCGTTCGCATTCTCAACTACCTCGACGACTGGCTCATACTAGCTCAGTCTCAGGATCAGTTGTGTGCACACAGGGACTTGGTGCTTTCGCACGTTAGCCGGTTAGGCCTTCGGGTCAACTGGGAAAAGAGCAAACTCTCCTTGGCGCAGAGGATCTCTTTTCTCAGTATGGAGTTGGATTCGGCAGCCGACAAGCTGTCACGAGCTGCACTCCCGGGAGAATGGAGACTCCATCCCCAGACGGTCCAGCTGATTTGGAGTCGTTTCGGAGCCGCTCAGGTAGACCTGTTTGCCTGTCCAGAATCCTATCACTGCCTTTTGTTCTACTCCCTGACCGAGGGAACACTCGGCATGGACGCACTGGCACACAGCTGGCCGCGGGGCCTTCGCAAGTATGCGTTTCCCCCAGTGAGCCTTCTTGCAAAGACACTGTGCAAGATCAGGGAGGATGAGAAACAGGTCCTGCTCGTGGTGCCTTACTGGGTTACAATCACCTCTAATCTTCCATATGCTCCTAGACGGTTGTTCATATGTGTAAGTGCTTCTGAAACCTCCCTCGGGAAGGATGGGATTCTGCAACGTTCCGGTTCCAAGTGGAACGGGCACGTTTTCCCAGTGTTATCCAGTCTTACTGAGTGGGTAGTGCCATAGCAGCAGTAACTGGTCTTCTTGTGGTAATCCCCAGCCTACGCCAAAAAGAAGGGGCGCAGGAGGCTTCCACAGGTCACTGGCAGGGGCAGTATCCGTGGCACTTTGGTAGGGATCCCAATTCGTCGGTCATCCGACGTGACGTCGAGAGTGACCGACTGAAAGGGAACGTCTCGGTTACGTATGTAACCCTTGTGGCCTTTTCGGCGACACAGTCGAGAACATGGCCCAGCAGTTCTCGGCTGTGCAGGAACAGACTGAGGCAATCCGAAGTTCTGCCCCGGCGGGCAGCTGCTGCCTCCGCCCGTCCGCCGGCTGCAGTGGCCCAGCCTGCTCGTCGGCGAGGGCGGCCCCCTGCGTCCACCCCGCTCCCGTGCTGCATCCGTAGCAGCCTCAAGCAAGCGGCACCGTGGAGCTGGGTGTAGGCAGGCCTGAGCAAGAGGCCTCGGGAGGGGCGACCCAGAGAGAGAGGGAACTGCTCTTAGGGGGATGATGAATGCAGCTCTCCCTCCCCCGGAGGAGGGCCGAGTAGAGAATCTGGTTTCCAAAAATCTCGACAGGAGAGCGGTTTTCTCTGTCTCTGGGTCCCAAGAGGGCATGGAGAGTCGCGGACGGACCACACTCATTCTCCTCTCTCACCAGCAGGCAGCAGCGTACGGTTCGAGAGCGTTATCAAAGGTCCTACTCACGCACCATTTGCCAAACTGTGGAACCAGGTAAGTGTTGCACTGCACACTCAGACCCCTCTTCAGGTCCCTGCGTTCCACCTTGCTGCCCCACCATGGGTATGTCGGTGGTCCCGCTAGTCCAGCTTGTGTGGTGTCTGGGTGCCTGGCTACCCAAACTGTCGCTGGCTCCTTGCTGTCTTGAACCGGGCTCTTCACCGGTTACCGTTAAAGATGTTGACGCAGGAATGCATCTTCGGGTGCATCCGTCGCCGAGATTGGTTTGCAGCAATCGACCTGAAGGGCACGTACTTTCATGTGTCGATCCTTCCGCATCACAGACCATTGCTGCGGTTCGCGTTCGAAGGACGAGCATATCAGTAGGATGTCCTGCCCTCCGGGCCTGTCGCCCCATGACTTCACGTAAGTTGCGAAGACAGCCCTTGTTCCCGAGAGAACAGGGCGTTCGCATTCTCAACTACCTCGACGACTGGCTCATACTAGCTCAGTCTCAGGATCAGTTGTGTGCACACAGGGACTTGGTGCTTTCGCACGTTAGCCGGTTAGGCCTTCGGGTCAACTGGGAAAAGAGCAAACTCTCCTTGGCGCAGAGGATCTCTTTTCTCAGTATGGAGTTGGATTCGGCAGCCGACAAGCTGTCACGAGCTGCACTCCCGGGAGAATGGAGACTCCATCCCCAGACGGTCCAGCTGATTTGGAGTCGTTTCGGAGCCGCTCAGGTAGACCTGTTTGCCTGTCCAGAATCCTATCACTGCCTTTTGTTCTACTCCCTGACCGAGGGAACACTCGGCATGGACGCACTGGCACACAGCTGGCCGCGGGGCCTTCGCAAGTATGCGTTTCCCCCAGTGAGCCTTCTTGCAAAGACACTGTGCAAGATCAGGGAGGATGAGAAACAGGTCCTGCTCGTGGTGCCTTACTGGGTTACAATCACCTCTAATCTTCCATATGCTCCTAGACGGTTGTTCATATGTGTAAGTGCTTCTGAAACCTCCCTCGGGAAGGATGGGATTCTGCAACGTTCCGGTTCCAAGTGGAACGGGCACGTTTTCCCAGTGTTATCCAGTCTTACTGAGTGGGTAGTGCCATAGCAGCAGTAACTGGTCTTCTTGTGGTAATCCCCAGCCTACGCCAAAAAGAAGGGGCGCAGGAGGCTTCCACAGGTCACTGGCAGGGGCAGTATCCGTGGCACTTTGGTAGGGATCCCAATTCGTCGGTCATCCGACGTGACGTCGAGAGTGACCGACTGAAAGGGAACATCTCGGTTACGTATGTAACCCTTGTTCTCTGAAAGAGGGAACGGAGACGCCACGTTCTGTCGCCACGGCTGCTGTACCACCGCTGAGCGGCCAGGTCACTGGCTCGGCTCCTCAGCGAAAACCTGAATATGTGCTGCACCTGCTGCCTACTTATACTCATGCTGTGATCAGTGGCAGCTGGATGCAATAATCGCATGCCAATGTGCATTGGCTCATTTAGTTTACACTCAAAGTGGATTGGTCTCTCTAAGCGAAATCCCAATTCGTCGGTCATCCGACGTGACATCTCCATTCCCTCCTTCAGGGAACGAGGGTTACATATGTAACCGAGACGTTTCACAGGACTGCTTAATTACATGCTTATAAAGAAACGATAAAAGAGCGATAAAGAAGCATGTAAAAATAAAGTGTATAAAAGCTTGATGGTATTCACGTAAACAGAAATGAGAAGAAATATGGATCAATATATTGAATAGTTTGTCTAGTGTTAGGGTTAATGAATATGTTGTTTGTAAATATGTTGTTTATAAGTTGTTCAAGGAGGGGAGAGCACTTATCTTTTCTGATAAGCACTTATCTGTTCCAAGAATCTCAGAAAAACCTGATCTGAGAAAGGGGTTATTATTATTGCGGATTAAAAAAAAAAAAAACTGTGTGGATTTTTATCATTATAGGGTGGATTTGTACACACACTGCCAACACACATTTATGTTCAACTAACATGTAAAAGTGAATTTTGCATCCGATGATCCCTTTAATAGTTCTCCCTATAGAAACATGGGGTTTGTGATTATAATGTTTTAAAAAGAATAATTTGAAGATCAATGTAACCTCATTCATGGAAAGTTTCAGGGAAATATAATTTATAAAAATGCATCAAAATGATCAACCTTTTGTATAGCAATTGTCTGCTTTTACACTGTTACATCTGGTTTCATCAGGATTACTGAGAGTTACTGAAAATGAACCTCTTTTACTTATATTTGCAGAGTTGATTGAAAAAAACGAGGAGAGTGAAGAACTGAGTGAAGTTGATGAGAAAAAGCATGCTAAAACTGGAGAAAAACCTTCGAGTTGCTCTCAAACCAAACAGAAAGATTTAAAGAAAATAATAGCCAAGAAATCTTTCACCTGCACTCAGTGTGGAAAGAGTTTGACATGCAAATATAAATGTGACGTTCACATTAGAGTTCATACTGGAGAGAAACTGTTCACATGTGATCAATGTGGGAAGAGCTTCACTCAGTCATCAACTCTTAAGGATCACATGAACATCCACACTGGAGAGAAAGCAGTCAGGAATCCTGAAAACACATGAGAGGATCCACACTGGAGAGAAACCATACAAGTGTTCACACTGTGACAAAAGATTCAGTCAGTCAGGAATCCTGAAAACACATGAGAGGATCCACACTGGAGAGAAACCATACACATGTGATCAGTGCGGGAAGAGTTTCACACAAAAAGAACACCTTAAGGGGCATATGAGGGTTCATACTGGAGAAAAGCCATTCTCTTGTGATCAATGTGGGAAGAGCTTTGCACACTCAGCAAACCTTAAGGATCACATGAACATCCACACTAGAGAGAAGCTGTACTCATGTGATCAATGTGACAAAACATTTTTGAGGGCATCATACCTAAAGAATCACCTGAGAGTTCATTCAAAGGAGAAACCACATTCATGTTATTTGTGTGGAAAGAGTTTTTTACATCTACATTATTTAAAAGTACATCAGAAAACACACATTGCTGTGAGAGAGTACATGTGCTTTGAGTGTAAAAAGACTTTTACTTCAGCTGAACATTTGAAACGACACCAGAGGATTCACACTGGAGAGAAACCTTACAAGTGTTCACACTGTGACAAGAGATTCGGTCGGTCAGGACACTTGAAAACACACGAGAGGATCCACATTGGAGAGAAACCTTACAAGTGTTCACACTGTCACAAGAAATTCAGTCGGTCAGGAACTCTGAAAACACATGAGAGGATTCACACTAGAGAGAAACCGTATCACTGCACTGCATGTGGGAAGCATTTCAATCGTTCATATTCTCTACACAGACATACAAAAAACAATCACAGTAAGTAGATCATCTTCAGATCAGCACTTTCAGGTCTGATGCTGCATCCTCACCAAATGAGACACAATAATGCATTAAACAATAAAATATCATCTGGATAAATCTGTCCTAACCAGACATTACAAGAGACATGACAAAGAAACATTATCTAAAGTTTTCACAGTGAATAAAGTTCATCTTCATCTTCAAAACCAGCAGATTCAACTGTGAGATTCAGATCAACTCAAAGATGGAGTTCCTCCCCAAAGAACAATGTCAGAAAGGTTTATTATTGTGTATCATGTTGCGTCATTATATAAATGATATTGTGTTTTCTTATGAGTTTCATATTATGTTCAATTGTCTTATAATGCATATGTGTCACCTGTAGTTTGCTTACTCTTTTATGAAGGAAAGTAGAAGATTTTTACAAACTGTTCTTGTTTAGGAAGCTGAAGAAGAGGCTGTAACACTATTAAGAGAGACTGAGATTTATCGTTGATTTGTTCTTCATTTTTGTTTTTGACTAGTTATTTTTCCACTTATGTGTTTAGAAAATGCAAATGCAGGATATACTGTCATGTAGCTTTGCAACTGATATTTCTTTGCTTCTCTTGTAAGTAGGGATGGTACCTGAACCCGGTATAAAACAAGCCCTGGGGCTAAATTACGAAAGACCGTAGTATTGATAAGTTCTGACGTTATCGGTTCTGTTTTCGCTACTGGAGAAATTAAGGAAATACACTTACAGTTTATTATTGCTACATAAATGTTATCAAGCTAATTGAATCCTGCCAACTATTTTTATATGGGATAATATAGCGATATATTAGAGAAAATCTAATGTGTCATGAGGTTGGGGTGTGCGAGTATCGTTACCGAATGGTTCACGGGGCAAATTCCAAATGGAAGTGATCATCCCTATCCCCTTGGAGTGGGGACTTTGGAGTGAGCAGGGCACGTGTGTGCCATTATGTAGTCATTTGGAATGCACTTGGCAAAGGGAGCAACGTAATTTCCTCATCTTCAGCTGGCATGTTCCCGTGACAACGCAGCACGATGTCCGTCAGCAGATGTCGCTGTTTTACGGTCATAAATGTCTTTTTATTGTTGTTAGCATAACTGTTGCAAATAAACATACAATTTATATTTTAAAAAGTTTTTAAAATATGCTATATAATATATAAAAACTAATATATATAAAACTTTTTAAAACATAAAATGTATTTATATTTTTTTTATGCCGGTGTCAATCAGCGAATCTGCTGACGGACACCGTACTGCGTTGTCACGGGAACATGCCAGCTGAAGATAATGAGGAAATTACGTCGCTCCCTTTGCCAAGTGCATTCCAAATGACTACATAATGGCACACCCCCTTCTTACTCCAAAGTCCCCACTCCAAGGGGATAGGGATGATCACTTCCATTTGGAATTTGCCCCGTGAACCGTTCAGTACCGATACCCCTATCATGAGGACTTTATGGCTGCTGTGTGCGTGCTTCAGTTATGTCCACATGACCGTAGTAAGCCATTATTATAAGTTTGCACCACTGATCTATAATAGAGAATCGGTATTGCTATTCCCTAGTATCCCCATATATTCTATTGAATTAATAGGAAATCGTATGATTTGAATGGGAAAACATCACCTAACAAGTCAGCGTTTTTATATCTGAAGTACTCCTGTACATTCTAACAACGCAAACATCCTATGCATGTACATTTTTTTTTTTTTAATAATGGGAATTCCCCTTGTGTATTAAAAAGTTATGCATCATATTCATAACAGTAGCGAACATCAGATGAACATCAGACGGATGATATCCTCAACGTGTATTACACATGACAAAGTGCACATTATGATATTGGCACATATGTGGCACATATTATTATATATCTGAATAAAGTTTTATGATTTGAATTTGCATATACTTTAATTCACCATGTAAATAATAGTATATTATTCTTCTTATTGTGTTAAGAGGGTTGATGAATGCAGTGGCGGCTCGTCGGCGGAGGCAGGGGAGGCACGGCCTCCCCATAATTTTAAGGTGAAACTGGGAGGAGGACGATTTAATGTTAATAAAATTCACAATTCATTTCAGTTCATGTCTCAGAATGTGTATTTTTTTTTTGTAATTTCACAGTTGTAATACCATAAAGTGAAAGCGCCGCTTTTCTATCGTGAATATGCCAAATCTGCTGATGTAATTACAAACGCTAATGATAGAGAAGGGTAGGGGGAGGCCTGAGCTCTCGTGCCTCCGTTGGTAAAAAAAATGAGCCAATCACCATCGAGTGTTCACTTTCAGCGCTGAGGAGTGTTGAGAAAAGAA